GTCCCTCCCTCGCCCTCGCCCTCGCCCTCGCCCTCGCCCTCGCCCTCGCCTCCGCTGCGAAGGTGGGAGAGCTGGGGCAGCAGCTATCACAGGAGGGCCTGGGGCAAGCAGGGTCCCTGGCCCCTTCAGCATCCTCTGGCCCAGCCGCTGTCCTGCTGGGAATACGCTGCCTCCTTTGCGTGGAATGCAGCTCTCCGGGATTTGGATTGTTTGCCTCTGCTGCTGTCTTCCTGGCTGATGTGTCAGGTTGCTAACAACACATCCCGAGGTGCAGCCATCCCCTAGGCTCCTGGGGAAGAATGAGACAGAAAACCTCCCAAAGAAATCATCTCAAGAAACAAAATTCTACAAAGAAATCTACCAGCCCCGAGGCCCTGGGCTGAACATCTGGCCACCACCCATGAGCGCGTACACTGTGATGTGTATGGCTTCACAGGGTCCAGAGGAAAGCGGGAGAGGTGCCGGGCTTGCAAAGCAGCTCTTAGAAAGAAAAGGGTCATGGCCAGAAAGGAAACGGGCTGGGTGGGGGTAGCAGGTCCCGAATGCCAGCTGTCGCCTGGCTCTGCTAAGGACAGGAGTGGGGGAGATGGTTACATAAGAAGTTGGGTGAGACTCGGGAGAGATGCCGTGGAGCCTCCAGACCCTTCTCCTTTAGCTGACTTAAGATGTTTGGAAATGCAGATGACGCTAATAACGATAGTGACCATGTTGGTGGCTAATACCTGCCAGTGATTGAGTCCTTTCTGTTAGCCAGACAGGGAGCCACGTAGGGAAAAGCCGTGACCCATCCAGAGGCCTTCATTGCGATTCTGGAAGCAACCGTCTCTGTGAACTTGGGCGAGTCCTTTCACTTTTCTGGGTCTTAGTTTCTAATCTATAAAAGAAAGAGACCAGATGGTATCTTCTCTAAGGGTTATTCCCAGAATAAAATGGAATATTTTACATTTTCCAGGTCAGCGATCAAGAGAATATGAACAACTGAGCGCCTCCTCTGGGCCAGAGACTAGACTAAGGGCGTAGTGTACCTCGTTAACCTTCAAAGTAACCCCCGAGGAAGGCAGTCTGCCAGCTTCAGAGCGGTGCAGACCAGCACTACTGCTCCCAGAGTCCACCAGCACCACCAGCACTCAGTGACGTTTATCCAACCGGGAGCCTTCCCAGCAGATGCTAAGGCTCCACAACAGGGTTAACACAACCTCTGCCCGTCAGACACACAGAGAGATGGGCCAGCCACAGAAGCAGCGAGTACCAGAGAACACTGCAGACAGATGGAATGGTAGCAAACACCTCCCCGGCTGATTCTCCTTAGCGAGAAGGAGGTATGATCAGTTTATAGACGGCTGAAGGAAGGCCTAAAGTCCTAACCTTTCTCTAGGGCTTTAGAGTTTGCAAGATACTTTGAGATATATCATTTTATTTTATTTTTCCTCCACTCTCTGGAATTAGTATGACTGCTGTTATTATTAAGTTTTTGCTAATTATTAATGAACTAGGGGCCCAGTGCACGAATACGTGCACCTTGAAAGGAACTGTGGGCCATGAGGCTGTGGTGGGCATAGGAGCGGGTCTTGGCCCATCCTCTGTGCCCCAGCCTGGCCCCTCCCACTGTGACCCCTGGTCCCCTGTCTGCTGGCAGGCCTGCTCCCGCCACCACAGCTCCCATGTGCTGACTGCACCGGCTCTGCTCGTACCTGCTGATGGCGTGGAGCGATTGGGGACAGCGCCGGAGTGGCGGCTGCTGCCCCGATTGCCCCTCAGGAGCAGGAGGAGGTGGAGAAGCCCTTAGGGGTGATTGGGGCCAGCAGCCGCTGCTCGAACCCACTGACAGCGCCGAGCGATCGGGGCTGGCACCAGGTGCCAGCAGCGGGTGCGAGTGCTGGGCGGGACCATGGTGCGTGGGAGCAAAGAACTTTCAGTAACCACCAGAGGCTCACCCCAATGACAGCAACTGGCATCTCGCCTTGGTCTGGCGTCCCTGCTCACCTGCTCCACCATCCCACCATGGCCAATGCCTGCCATGTTCTGTGCGCACCCCTTGGTGGTCAGTGCATGTCATAGTGACAGGTTGTTCAGTTTTCTTTTGGTGGAGGTTTAGAGGGAAGAGTCAAGGTTGCTACAAATCTGCATGGTTACTTTAACCAAGGTCACCTGCGAGTGCCCCCACACCTCAGGGCTTGAGCTCAGGGCTGGCGGGTGGGAACTACAGGTTGGGCATGGCTGAGTCTCTCTGGAGTGTGTAGAGGACTAGGGGCCACAGAAAACAGGCGTCTCTTTCTATCAAGGCCCCTCACGCAGCTCAGGCATTTTGCTGGGACCCTCGCACGGCTCAGCTCCAGCTCCCTGGCAGCCGGGGCATCCCTCTTGATGATACCAGCTGCCATTTATTGAGCATCTGGCGGTACAGGCCCCTTCATTTTCATTTTCTAAGTTAATTTGACAACCACATCATGGAGAGGGAGTTCCTGTGTCCATTTTACAGATGAGAAGACTGAGGCCCAGAGCGATCCCATGTCAAGGCCACACTGCCAGCCAGTGTTGGAGCTGAGACTGAAACCCAGGCTGCTGCCTGATTTAAAAAAACCAGGCCACACTGACTCCTCCCCTTCAGTTCCCAGGATAGAAGGAAGCTGCTCCTCTTCATTTTCTGGTCATCACTGCTTAGAAAAACCTCAGATGTTGGGGACAGGGATGTGAAGGGGGGAGAGCATGCAGTGCAGTGAGCACACAGCTCTCAGGACTCTGTGCCCGTCATTGTGGTTGCCTATGACTTGCAACCTGTGGGAGAGGAAGTTAGGGGCCCTGTCCATGGGCCCCAGCCTGTCCTGGGTCAGGGAAGCGGCCTCCCTGCTCCCTCGGTGGCTGTGCCCATGTTGCCCTCCTCTGAGTGAGGTGCCAGGAGCTCAGACAGACAAGGTGCCCAGGCCCATCGTGCTACCCCTGTTGGCGGGTCCACACCCCCTGGAAGGAAAGCAAATGCACAGACAGCAGGGGAGGGTGGGCTGAACTGGCCGGAAGGGACGAGCCCCCAGGCAGCCCCTGGGCTGAGCCAGGGTGAGGTGAGACCCCCGTGGTTGTTCACACTCTGCTCAACCCCACGTCCTGTCCTCAGAGCTCATTTCTCCCGGCATGTGTCCATTTTACAGATGAGAAGACTGAGGCCTAGAGCGATCCCATGTCAAGGCCACACTGCCAGCCGGTGTTGGAGCTGAGACTGAAACCCAGGCTGCTGCCTGATTTAAAAATACCAGGCCACACTGACTCCTCCCCTTCAGTTCCCAGGATAGAAGGAAGCTGCTCCTCTTCGTTTTCTGGTCATCACTGCTTAGAAAAACCTCAGATGTTGGGGACAGGGATGTGAAGGGGCGAGAGCATGCAGTGCCAGTGAGCACACAGCTCTCAGGACTCTGTGCTCGTCATTGTGGTTGCCTATGACTTGCAATCTGTGGGAGAGGAAGTTAGGGGCCCTGTCCATGGTCCCCAGCCTGTCCTGGGTCCTCCCTCTGTGGCTGTGCCCATGTTGCCTGCCTCTGAGTGAGGTGCCAGGAGCTCAGACAGACAAGGTGCCCAGGCCCATCGTGCTACCCCTGTCGGCGGGTCCACACCCCCTGGAAGGAAAGCAAATGCACAGACAGCAGGGGAGGGTGGGCTGAACTGGCCGGAAGGGACGAGCCCCCAGGCAGCCCCTGGGCTGAGCCAGGGTGAGGTGAGACCCCCGTGGTTGTTCACACTCTGCTCAACCCCACGTCCTGTCCTCAGAGCTCATTTCTCCCGGCAGCCTGTCGCCCTGGACACTCTGAGAGTGGCATTTTCTGTAAACACCCAGTTGCCTAATGGCGCTCAAGACTCTGACGAAACTCAGGTGTGACCTGTACCCCAACTCCCCTCTTTATAAGGCTGTGAGGGGTTCCACTGGGGGCCCTGGTGGACCCAAGTCTGAGACCTAACGGCCTGGTGGGGCGAGGCGCTGGACGTGGCCTTGGAGGAACCATTGTGGAGCTGAGATAAAGGTACCTGAGGCCTGATTTCTGATCTTACCCCTCCTCCTCCCAGGTTGTCTCCAGACCCGGACTCTACTGCGGGCGCAAGGAAAGGAGTTTGGGCTCTGGAGGCAGACAGACCTGTGTTCATAACCCACTGCACTGGGCGAGGTTGGGCAGGTTGCTCACCCTCTCTGTTCCTGTTTCTTCATCTTTAACATGGAAATAATATCTCATAGGGCTGTTGTGCGGATTGAAGGAAATAATATTGCACAGTGCTTCACACCGTGACTGGGATAGAATAGGAGCTCAGCAGCTGTTACTTTTGTCATTAGAGTGGGAGTCACCCTCGCCACCTCCTGTTCCTACCAGCTGAGCCACTGACCTCCGTGAAAGGGGGCAATGGCCCCTTAGACCAAAGCCATCCTGTCTTTGAGGAAAGGTCCCGAACTCCAGCTGTCCTGGGCAGAACCACGGGAGTGAAGGGACAGTCTGTCTGGCCGACGGGTAAGAGAGGAAGGAAGCCAGTAGTTATACTGAGGTGACAGGGTCAGGAAGGCAGCCGAAGTCTGGCTCACATTCATATTTGGGAGGGAGACTGCAAGGGTTAAAGAGCACATGAGACTTTTTTTTTTTTTTTACAATTTGTTATAGAAAATTTGAAACATCTATAACATTAGAAAGATTAGTGCAGTGGACCTCGGTGGATCATCACCCAGCTTCAGCCATCATCACCTTGTGGCCAATCTTGTTTCATTTATGCCCCCTCCATATTCTCTCCAAAGAAATCACAGGCATCGTATAACTTTATCTGTAAATGTTTCAGTGAGTATCTCTAAACAATAGGGATTCTTTAAAATTTAACTAGAATGTCACTGCCACACCTAGACATTATTACCAGTAATTCTTTCATATCAACAAGCTACTCTTGAAATTTTCAATTGTCTTATGAATGTCAAAGACCTTTAAAAAGCTAGTCTACGAATCAGGGTTTAAATCAGATCCACACATTGCAATTGGCTGATATGGCTTTTAAGTTGCTTTTTTTTTTATAAATCCCATCCCCTCCCCCCCCCTCTTTTTTGTTTTTTTTTGTGCAATTTTTTTTTGGGAGAAATCAGGTCATTAGTCCTGAAGCATTTTGCACATCTGGATTTTGCTGATTGCGTTCCTGTGAAGTTTGGCCTTCACTTTGTCTTTGGGGTCCCACACCAAATAGGTACTTGTGTTGGGGTCATCAGGTGAAACCTCTCCCCCTCCTTTCACCTCTGTGGGAAGGATACGTGCCCAGTGCCAGCCTGGCAAAGCCGGAGGGAGGACTGGCTGACACGGGGAGGGGTCCGGCAGCGGGATGGGGGACGGTGGCTGTTACCCGGACTGGCTTCTCTCGTTTTTATGAACAGGGACGTGTTTTCATAAAGCAGGGCAATTTTCGGCTAAATAGTGAGGATTGTTTTTCCTTCTTCTAGAGCAATAAGGTTCAGGATTTGTCTCCCTCTTGACTTTCAAGAGCATGTTTTCTCAATTCCTTCCTGAAATTAAAGTAAAGGTCAAGGAGGCTGTTCTGAGACCCAGTCCTCCCCCCACCGGCTCCTGTGGGCGGGCGGGCGAGTCTGGCAGTGAAGTGTGCCTGCCTCCTGGGCTAGTGACCTGGCCTGGTCCCAGGGCAAACCGAGCCGAATTTCGTGATTCCTTTCTTTCTGGGGGAAACCGAGGAGGGAGCGTAAGACAGGGGAAGGATAAAAGGAAACAGTACCAGGCCGTGGGCCCTGCTCTGAATTTAGATCTCCTGAGTAATTTCTCGCTGCTCGCTTATCCCCGCTGTGTTCCCTTCCTCTGGGAGGGCCCGGGGCCCCACACCCTCCACCCTGCTTCCCACCAGCCAACTTTCTGCTCCGCACACGTGTGAGCTGCCCCTTCCCTGGCACAGTGTTGAGAAGCGAGGGTTTTTAATCAAAAGGCAGTGCACGCAGAGAACAGTACCGCCACCACCCTGCTCGGCAGCACTCCCCCACCTCCTCCCCACTGAGTCACTCCAGCTAACAGTTAATTAATTTGTGACACTTTGACAGTTTGCAAGGAGACATTTTTATGGAGCCATCAAAATCCACAGGGATGGGCTGTCAGGCAGACACTCCTTCTTGCAGTCCCAGACCCTGCCTCACCTCACGGTAGACCCCAGGGGTCCTGAGGACATGAGGGAGGCCTGGGGTGAGGCCGGGAAACTCTGAAGTCCTTGGCAGTCCAGGCGGTCCACACTCCCAGGACCGCCTGGCCCCCTGGGGCGTGGCAGAATCAGCAGGTGTCCAGGATGAGAGCAGCAGAGGTGAGGAGGCCCCAGT